GGGAGGGGCCGGAGCTGCAGCAGGCGCTGGCAGCCCGGGACGAAGCCATCCTGCGCCGTGACGGCCGTATCCGTCAGCTGGAGCTGGAGAATCAGCAGCTCCGGAGCCACGTCCGCAGCCTGGAGGAGGAGAACGACCTGCTCTCCTCCGGGGGTGGCCGCAGGGGACCCTTGGCCACCGCTGCCACCACTGCCACCGCCACCAGGACCCTGCTGGCCTCGGGCACCGGCTGCATTGGTAACGGCAGCGGGCAGGCAGGGTGACGGCTGGATGTCCCCGCCATGGGCTGGGAAGGGGACCCAGTTTGTGCGGTGGCACTGGGACAGACAAGGGTGACCGGGGACAGAGGGATGGAAGGGGACAGGGACAGGCTGGCAGGGCTGTGGGGGATGGAGGGGAGCTGCCCAGTGTCCCCCTGCCCGGGGACGGGGTCTGTCCTGTGGCTGAGCCCCTGCCGTGTCCCTGCAGGCGTCAGTGACAGCAACGTCCAGTTCCTCAAGGGGCTCGTGGGGCTGCTGGAGAGCGACGCCGCCGCGCAGGTGGGTCTGGGTCCCCGTGAGGTGGGGGTCTGGGGACAGCTCTGCCCCCGTGTCCCCAACCCACGCAGCTCCTCGCCCCACGGAGGCTGGGGACCAGCCCAGTGCCAGCCCCCAGCAGCGCTGGGACGAGCGGGACACCCCTGCCCAGCCAACCCCCTCTGTCCCCGCAGGTTGGGGGCCTCCAGCCCTTCTCCACTCCCAGCTCCGGCGAGCAGGGCTGCGCCCCGGCCGATGTCCCGCGGAGCCCCCCGGCCTGGCGGCTGCGGGCAGGGCTGCCTGGCAGCTTCCCCCCCTGCCTGGGCACTGAGGAGGGGGCTGGCAGCCCAGCCGCGCTCACCGACACCGCCTGCCTCTGGGAGGAGAGCGGGGGGGACACGCTGCCTGACGGCACCCCGCTCTGGGCCTCACCCGTCGAGGTGTGTGGGGGCCAGCCAGGGCTCCGGGGTCCCACCAAGGCTCCTGGGGTCCCACCAAGGATCCTCAGGTCTCACCAGAGACCTGGGGTTTCACCAGGGCTCCTGGGGTCCTACCAAGGCTCCTGGGGTCCTACCAAGGGTCTTGGGGTCCCGTGTGGGACCTGGGGTCCCACCAGGGTTCCTGGGGTCCCCCTGGGCACAGTGCTGTGGTTGGAGCAGAGGGGACAAAGGGGTTCCCCCAGGGCACAGGAGAGGTGGCCCAGGGGGTCTCCAAGGGATGGAGGGGGTCAGGGTACCCCGGGGACAGAGCAGGGGGGTCCCCGGGCTCCACCCAGGACCCAGACGAGAGCTCTCCCCCTCGCTGCAGGAGAACGGGAGGCCCAAACTGGAGCTGGTCCCCAACTCGGGGGTCTACATCACCCACCCGCAGCTGGACGACCTCTCGCAGGTCTCCACTGACAAGCCCAAGCTCATGACCCGGCGGCTGCTCGATTACTTCTTCTCGCGGGAGACGCTGGCCCGGTCCTCGGCCACGGGGCAGCGCATCGCCCACAACAACACCACCATGGAGCGGCCCCTCCGCCTGCCCGTGGCCGTGGTCAACGCCATCAAAGGTAGGGGATGGGGAGGCGGGACAGGGTCCCTCGTCCCCCTCCCGGTGCCATGTCGGTGGGTCAGGAAAGGCCACGGTGCCACCCGCGAATGGGGTCGGGTCCCCCTCCGCCCCGCAGAGTACGTCACCAAGATGTGCGGCCGCGGCTGCAACTTCAACGCCGTCATCAACAGCAAGTGCGGCACGTCCCGGCGGGCCGTCAAGAAGATGGTCGTGAAGATGGAGTGAGCTGAGACCCACGGGACGGCCATGGCCCTCCAGCCACACAGCATGACGAGCCCGGAGCCCTCCGGTGCCACAGGCGGGGAGAGGGGACAGGGAGGGACGTGCTGGGGACGGTGGGATCATGCCCTCGTGCCTACGGAGAGGCTGCGGCTGGAGGATTCACCCTACAGAGACCGGCTGGCTCAGCCCCGCGTCCTCATGGTGGGAGAGCCCGTGGCCGCGCGTCCCACTCCCTCCGGCCGCGGGGAGCGGGTGCTGGCGGGGGGGAGGGGGGGGGGGGGCGGGGGGGG